AAGATGCTTTAATTAATTACAGAGTGAATTATTATAATTATGGAAGTCCACATAAAAATATTCCAACATTGTTACCCCATAGATTTACAAGAGGCCGGACGTTCACTGATTGGAATCCATGGATTAGGGGTCAAGCTACAATTTTTTTTTAAAACCTTCAGATTAGAAAAATCTCAATCTGTGTCCGATCTAAAAATCCAAAATTTAACCTTTTTGGATCCGATCTAATCCAATCCAAAACCTATCGGATTTTGCAGATTGGATTCCCGAACTCTACGGATTACAACCTTTAAAATTAATAAATTATTAAACATCCATACACAATAAAACAAACAAGAAATCTTCATCATTTATCAATAACATTTTAAAGTTCAAAATTTTCAACATCCAACCCAAATAAAGATAGCATAACATAGAATCCTTCAACAAATTCTAAAATGTTACAACCCAAATTAATTGCTATAAAATATGAATAATCAAATAATATTACATTTACATATAAAAACAAATTTTTTTTCAAAAAAAAAAATGTATTATATATATAATATATTTCGGACTCGTGAATTTTGCAGATTGAAAAAACCATTCTAAAACCTTTAGATGGACAAAATCTCAATCTATATTTAATTCAAATCTTTTTTTAATTCAATTCAAAATCTCGTATTAAATTAGATTTGACCGATCAATCCGATTGACGGATTTTGTGAACACCCCAGCATACCCAAAAGATTTTATTCAGCAAACAAACTTTCCAATAATAAGAAAGGCAAAAGAATTAAAACGTCGAAGAATGGAATATCCAACACACGACAACCTTTATTTCAAGATATTTCTTAATCTTCAGTTTTTCATTGAAGAAAATTGGCATATATATTATCCCAATTATTTGATAATTTAATTGCCAATGGAGGAGGAGGAGAAATTTGTTTCTTCTATCTATGAGTGTATCTCCAAATCCAATTGGTCTGTTTAGTTTAATTGCAATATCACACCATTTATTCCTGAAGCAATACGTAATTGCTATTGGAGAGAGGATTAAAAAAAAAAAAAAGGAGAAGAATTGTAAAGTGATAGCGAATTGTATAATCTCATAACTCATTTGAAAATAAATTATAATATTTGAGGCATTTCTAAAAATGATTTGCATACTTTATAGTGCACTTATTTTCCCACGCTATTACAAAACGAGAATGGGTAAATACCTGCCATAAAAGTAAAAATTGATATTTTCAAACCATGTCATACACAAATTTGTGTCTTGAACTATCAATTTAATAATACCATGGCATTAACTAAATAACTATTAAATTTTAATTGCAACTGATTATAAAGTTTATGATGCATTTTGTCAAAGGATCTATTATGTAAAAAATGATAATTTGAGATACAACAATGCAATTTGCTCTATTGGTAAAGTAATAAGTTCAGGTGGTGACACACATCAGCTTAAGTTTCATGTATTCAGAATTATGATTCAGAATCATTATCGTTTTATGTGTGTTTTTTTGAGAGAAAAATACTTTAAAAAACCATGAATTATAATTTAAAATTAGAGATGAATATAAGAAACAAACATCCCATTAGAAGTTCAAATTCAAAGTCAATAGGGTCCGTTCACTTCGCTGATTCGAGTTTATAATTCGAGTTGAGATGTGATTTTATGTGAGAGCTTTTTACTGTAGCAAAAAAGTTAGATGTGATTGTTTGTGAGAACTTTTTACTGTAGCAAAACTCGAATTGGTGAAGTGAACGGGGCCATAATATTCTCACCTGACATGTCTTTCAACCTCTGACATGGGTACATCTTCAAGTTGCCTCTCCAAACTAGCTAACTCCTCTTTGATTTTGGTGATCTGAACCTTTAGAGAAGCTCTCTTCGACTGAATGATGTTTTTCCTAAGCATAGCCGCAACTACTCTCTTAAAGATTGGAGCAAGAAAAGTTATTTTGAAACCCACCGAAGTGAGATCCCAGTAAGCATCCCTCAATGCGAGAGGTCCTCCTCGGAAATCTCCTCAACATAGAAGCGCTTAAGGAACAAGAGGACCAACCCAAGTCGTGCGGGAAAGCAGGAAAGACTTAAATGTCGGAGAAAGAAAACACGCTGGTAAGATGTTCTCGAAGCGAGCAAAGAAGCTCTCTACAGCAGGGACCATCTCTGAAGAAACCTTTATGCCGCTGAATATGGACTTCTCTCCACTGACCTCCGAAACATCCTCTACTTGGTACGGTGCAGGCTCTTTCGACTGAAATTTGCCAATAAAAGCTCAGAGCTGCTCTTGGAATGTGGTTTCAAGATCAGCGTTTGCCCTACTGTCGCTGGAATCCTGCTCAGCGGTAGCATCGTCTTTGCCACTGGAAATCACCCTGTGGGGATGATAATTGACTTTGAATTTAAACGACGTTGTTCGAAGACTCAGCGAGAACGACAACGTGTCATGAAAGAAAAAGAGAGTTAATGTTATGCGGAAGATTTTACTCTTAAGAAGGTTAAACCGCACAAAAGAATTATGCATCGTTCGCTTCGCGGATTTGAGTTTTTAATTTGAGTTGAGATGTGACATTTTTGAGAGTTTTTAACTGTAGTAAAAAAAGTTAGATGTGACATTTTCTAAGAACTTTTAACTGTAAAAATTTAAAACTAAAAACTCAAATCGGTAAAATGAACGGGGCTTAAAAGAACTCCATACCAGAAAAAGAAGCTGACGTGGATAAGAATCCCAAAGAATAAGTTCCCAAAGGAGGAATGAAAATCGATAAATACCTATACCCCAATGGTAAAGGGATCCTTTTCGCCATTTTTGAGAATTTCTTACTAGAATTTAGAGAGAGAAAGTTCTAGTGAGAGAGAGATCAATTCTTGAGAAATCAGAGAGAATATTTTTTGAGAATCCAGAGACTCTTGTGGTTTTTAGAGTTAAAGGTAGAATTTGACTCCAACAACTTGGCGCCGTTTGTGGGAATCCTTCGATCAAAAAGCCTGATCGTGAAGCTCTAAAGGCAGGAAGAGGTCGTGGAAAGAGTTTGACCGAAGGATAGGGAAATGAATCGGCATCACAGCCTGGAATGTCAGCTACTAGAATGCCGGAGAACTGGATGCAAGCCGTCCAGACTTTAGTAGATAATCATGAACAAACAAAGAAAATGTTCAAGATGATAGTTGAGCACCAGAAATTGATGGAATAGCAACTGGAGGATGCTAAGAAAGAGAATGAAAGATTAAAAGATCAAGTTCAGGAGATCAGTAGACAACCTGGACAAGTGGAAGATCAAGAAGCAGATTTGAGGAAGAAAGGATTCGTGCTGAAAATTGCGTAAGGAGGAAGAGAAATCTCGCAAAAGGTTTCTGGAGGAAATCTTGGAATCAACGTCGCAAAAGGTTCCGACTTTGCAAATATTTCCAACAAAAAGTCCAAATGTGAAGCCAGCCGCACCAGATGAAGAAGATTTGATGAAAAGCTACAATATCATATAGAAAGACAACTGCAAGAAATAAAAAACTGGACTCCGGTCGAGAGTTCATGCAGGGTAACGGGTAACGGGCGTCGAGAACCCCGCCTGCGTCGAGAATCGGTCGCCGGCGTCGAGGGGACGATCGTACTTAAGGTGCCCTGTCTACGTCGAGAGTTCATGCAAGGTAACGGGCGTCGAGAACCCCGCCTGAGTTGTGGGGGTCACGACGTCGAGGTAGCAGCCCGGTCTAATCCAAAGATAGTCATGTCAACTCAAGAGAAGATGCACTGTACCAACTACTACTGTCGGAGTCAGAAAATCAGGTAGCCGGTAATGGTGGTTAGCCTAACCTGGAAGCCGTAATCATGAAAATACAACTGTCAAATCCCAAAATTAAGGGATAGAGGATGATCTCCTCGGGAAATATAGAGGGGGTCTTTCATATGTAGAAAGCCTATAAATAGAGCCATGGGAATTCATTAAGTTTTTTTACGCACTATTCTACTACTCCAGAGATATTGTAATCAACAAAGTATTAGTGCATCCACAAGTGGACTAGGCCAAGAAATCTTACCGAACCACTATAAATTCTCGTCTTCTCTATATTATTTTGCAACATTAACCCTTAATTAAGCGGTGAGAGGTTGCTGTGAGTGTTCATGGAGAGTTAATCCTTAGTTGACAGAAATCCACTGTCAACAATTGGCGCTAGAAGGAGGGTTTAAAACCCAAAGATCAATCCAGCAGTAAGCAGTGAATATGGCTCCTCCGAGAAAAACCTGCATTATGACGGTAACTCAGAAAAGCCAGGAAGGCCAGAATCCTGCTGTCGGAGGAAGGAATCCGACGAATCTGCCCAACGGCGACGAATCTGCCCAACGGCGACGAATCTGCCCAACGGCGGTCAAGAACCAACGGGGGCACGGCCGACCCGCAGGGTGCAACCACCGGCTGCTGGGAACCCCCCAGACCGCCTTGACTAGATCTAAAGGCAGGTCGAAACACTTGCTGTGGCCGTAGAGAGGATGGCCACAGCCCTCGCCGGATGGGAGCAAAGGCCAGATTCGATGCCGCCGTTAGAGGATGCACCGATGAACCCGGTGAACGCCGCCATCGAGAACCAAGTGATTGGTGACCGATGTGATGATGCTGAGGGAGTCGGTGACAGTGGGGCCAACAACCCCCGCCCAGCCAAGTCAAATAGATCTGTGGGGAGCAAGCAACGAGCTGCCAGAAGGAGAGCCCATGAGAAAGCCGCGGCCCAAACAGCAAATGACCGAGAGTTACCTCCTCGACCGTAGGAGAACGCGAACTGGAGGAACGTGGTTCCGGTAGAATCTTCATCCGTACGCGGAGGAGACCTGAGGGAGCAGCTGAACGCTCGACGCGACCGACACGTGCAACGGACCAGGGAGGAAGAGCTCGCGGCTGAGAATAAAACCCTGGCCGAGAAGATGGCCAGGCTAGAAAAGTAAACAAGGAGTCGGCTAAACAACTTTGAGCAAGTTGTGGGAAAGGTGGCTGAGGCTGTAAATGTCGACGCCAAGATGTATACATCTCACGACCACCCATTCACAGAGAACATCATCGAGGTACCATTGCTCGATAAGTATAAGCCGCCACCAATTCTACTATATGATGGAAGGAGTGATCCAGACGACCACTTGGAAGTCTACATGGGGCATATGGTCCTACATGGATACCCCGAGGAGGTCATGTGCCGGGCGTTTAGAAATCATCTTTCTGACTCCGCCAGGAGATGGTTTAGGTCCTTAAAACCAAACTCCATAACCAGCTGGGATGACTTGAAGAACGCCTTCCTAACTCAGTTCATAGGTGTCAAAAAGTACATCCCACTGAAGCAAAACCTTTCGAGGGTGTATCAGGGACCAAAGGAGTCCCTAAAAGATTGGATAGCCCGATTCGGAGAACATGTGGCTGCCACTGAGGGGATATCCGACGAGGTAGCTCTGATGGGGGCCATATCGAGCATGAAGAAGGACATTCCGTATAGTACAGACCTCGACTGGAGGCCACCCCAGACCTACGAAGAATTCCTAGTAAGGGCCCAGGGATTCATTAACGCAGAGGCGGCCAAAAATGCCTTAAAGAGCAAGGTGGTGGCCCTCACCAAAGAAGAAGCAAGACAGCCAAGCCACCAAAACAACAATAAGAAGCGCCGAGGTAATCCTCAGGTGCAAATGGAGCAAAGGTATAACTCGACCCCAAACAACAAGGGTGGCAACGTCTTGGCGAGGCAAGAGGATACCAAGCGAGCCAAACCGTAAAAGTATGACACCTACACCCCTTTAACCATGAGGATCGAGGACGTCTATCACGAGATCAGTCACCTCCAGGTACTGCGTCGCCCACTGCCGCTGAAGTTCGACCCAGCGTGGAGAAACCAAAATAAGTATTGCAGGTTTCACGGTGAGAGAGGACATATGACCACCGAATGTTTTGACCTAAGGGATGAGGTCAAGAGGTTGATCCGGGAAGGGAGGCTCGGTGTGTACCGAGCCAACCAACGGGGCAACAACAATCGGAGGAACAACGACCGACGGGAGGACCAAAGGCAAGACCATCCCCCCGAACATGTTGACGTGACAAGGACGATCTTCGGAGGGCCGTATCTTGGCAGTACCTCTCGCTGTACACAGACAGAGTACGCAAGGGAGGCAAAGGAAAAGTTCAACCAGAGGATCATGAGTGTGTCTGGCAGAGAGGCGAAGGCCGCAAGATATGAAGAGGCCGAGATAACGTTCTCGGAGGCGGACGCAAATGGGGTGCATTTCCCCCTAAGTGACGCCCTAGTAGTGGAGGCCATGATAGGTAACCACACGGTCTGCCGCATCCTAGTGGATAATAGCAGCTCGGTAGATATTATGTATGCCGATTACCTCGACAAGATGGGGATCCCTCGAGCGAGACTGCAGAACAACACGCAACCCCTGTATGGCTTCACCGAGGATTGCGTCATTCCTGAGGGAATGATAGAACTACCCATGACAATTGGTGACCAGCCACACACCTTGACCATTATGTCACGGTTCTTGGTGGTGAGGGGAGGTGACCAATACAACGCTGTCATAGGGTGCCCGACACTGAGGGCATTGAAAGCAGTCATATCAATCTATTATCAAATGATGAAATTTTTGAAACCCAGCAAAATCAGAAGAGTCAGGAGAAACCAGTAAGAGTCGAGGCTCACATACTCAGAGACAGTCCATCACTACGCCGAGCCAGGGCAGGCGAGAAGAGAGATGAGGATGGTAGTGACCAAAGTAGAGGAGGTCGACCTCGATCCAAGACTCTCAGATGAAGAGACGAGAATAGGGCCGGTCGAGGAGTTGATTGAGGTCCCAATTGACGAAAAGGAGCCGACAAGAAAACTGAGGGTAAGCTTGGAACTTGAAGAACATAGTCGGGAAGGGCTGATAGCATTCCTCAGGAGCAACCCTAACGTGTTTGCCTAGACCCACGAGGACATGGAGGGGATAAGCCCAGACATAATGAGTCACATGCTTAACATAGATGAGAAGTATCCCCCCAAGAGGCAAAAGCGTCGACCAATGAATGCCGAAAGGTATGAAGCTCTACGGGAGGAGGTCGACAAGTTAATAAGAAACGACTTCATTCGGGAGGTTCTGTACCCCGAGTGGGTTTCAAACCCTGTACTAGTATTAAAGCCCAGCGGACAGTGGCGGACCTGTGTCGACTTCAACGACCTAAACAAAGCCTGTTCAAATGACAACTTTCTGTTCCTGAGGATAGATCAGCTGGTCGACGCCATAGCAGGGCATGAACTCCTGAGTTTTATGGACGCCTATTCTGGCTACAACCAGATTCTGATGTTTCACCGCGATGAAGAGCACACATCTTTCATCACTGACAGGGGCCTGTATTGCTACAAGGTCATGCCCTTTGGCCTAAAAAATGCATGAGCAACATATCAACGCCCGGTCAACAGGATGTTCACAGACCATATAGGTAAAACGATAGAGGTATATGTGGATGATATGCTGATAAAGAGCAAGAAATCCGAGGATCATGTAGAAGACCTTAAGGGAATGTTCGACGTCCTGTGGAAGTGTAGGATGAAGCTGAATCCTCTTAAGTGCGCGTTCGGGGTTAAATCGGGAAAATTCTTAGGTTTTATGGTGAGCAGTCGAGGAATCAAGGCTAATCCAGAAAAGGTGTAGACGCTCCTCAACATGAAATCACCATGGAAACCGAAAGAAGTCCATAAGCTAACGGGTTGTATTGCCGCACTCAACAGGTTCATTTCAAAATCTACAGATAAGTGCATACCATTCTTTGACACCTTGAGAGGAAGCAAGGCGTTTCAATAGACAGAGGAGTGCGAACACGCGTTCTAACAATTGAAGGGGCACCTTGGGAAGCCACCTCTACTGTCCAAGCCTACGGCCGGAGAGGTGCTGAGCCTATATCTGGTGGTCTCTGAAAACGCCATTAGCTCAGTGTTGGTCCACGAAGAGAAGAATGTGCAGCTGTTGGTCTATTACACTAGCAAGCGCCTCCTCGACACAAAGATGAGGTATCCACAGATGGAAAAGCTTGCCCTCGCGCTAGTAGTGACGTCGAGAAAGCTACGCCACTATTTCCAGGCCCATAGCATTCAGGTTTTGACAAACCATCCTCTTAGGTAGGTATTGTAAAAGCCCGACGCTTCTGGAATGCTCATTAAGTGGTCCATAAAGCTCAGCCAGTTCGACATTGATTACAAACTGCGGATAGCCATCAAGAGCCAAGCCCTAGCCGACTTCGTTGCTGAGTTCACGGGGTTATCGGATGAAGTAGAGGTTGTTGGCGGGCCACTCAGATGGAAACTCTATGTCGACGGAAGCTCCAATGACAACGTTGGCGGAGCAGGGTTGATATTACATACCCCAGAGCGTCACAAAATAACCTCAGCCGTCAAGTTTGAATTCCCCGCATCCAACAATGAAGCAGAATATGAAGCGTTACTGGCCAGACTCCGGTTGGCAGAACACCTAAAAGTTGAGGCTATAGACATTTTCAATGATTCACAGCTAGTCATGAACCAAGTGAAAGGCCAATATCAAACCAGGGATGAAAAGATGGCAGGCTACCTTACAAAGGTTAAAGAAACCTTAGACAAACTCACGGCCTACGACATACAACAAGTGCCAAAGGCAAAAAATAACAACGTTTACGCCCTAGCCAGGCTAGCCACCTCAAAGGATGCCGAGCTGTTGAAGCTAGTACCTGTGGAGGTCTTAAAAGCTCTTTCCACCGAGGGAAAGCTTGAAGTCATGTCAATGAGTCACCAGCCGAGCTGGAAGGACCCAATCATCAAATATTTGGTCGACGGCGAACTCCCAGAGGACAAACATCAAGCGAAAAAGTTGAAGTACCAGGCGTCGAGATTCACCATGCACGACGATACTCTCTATCGAAGGGGATTCTCGACACCCCTGCTCCGGTGCCTTGATGAAGAAGAAGCGAAGAGGGTGCTCTCAGAAGTACATGACGGGATATGTGGAAACCACGCAGGGGGGCAATCCCTAGCTTATAAGGTGCTGAGGCAGGGGTATTACTAGCCTAACCTCAAGAAGGAAGCAGCCGAATATACAAAGAAATGTGAAGGCTACCAAAGGTACGCCCTCATCCCTCGGTAGCATTCAGAAGATCTAACGTCGATAGTCTCTCTTTGGCCTTTTGCTAAATGGGGGATTGATCTCATTGGCACATTACACAAGACCCCTGGGGGATACAAGTATGCCATTGTAGCTGTCGACTACTTTACGAAGTGGGTTGAAGCCGAGCCACTGACGATGATATCGGAGGAGAAATGTACAAACTTTATATGGAACAACATAGTCTGCTGGTTCGGTGTACCACATTCTCTCGTATCAGATAACATGAGATAGTTTAACAATGATAACACCAACCAGTTTTGCGAATTGCTAGGTATCCATAAGAACTTTTCCTCTGTTGTATATCCCCAGTCCAACGGACAGGTCGAGGCGGTCAACAAGATGATCAAAGTTACGTTAAAGCGGCGGCTCGACAACTACAAAGGAAAGTGGGCAGATGAGCTACCAAAGGTTTTGTGGGCTTACAGGACGACCATCAAGACTACCATGGGGGAAACTCCATTCTCAATGGCTTACGGGGTAGAAGCGGTCCTTCTAGTCAAGATATCCATTCCTACCAGCCGAGTAATATGGTATGAAGAATGTAGGAATGCCGATCGAATGGGCTTGGAGCTCGACCTTTTGGAGGAAAGGTGCACGGACGCACAGTTAAGGCTCACCGCGTACCAAACCAAAACTGATAGGTACTACAACAGAAAGGTCAAGCATAAGCGGTTCAAAGTAGGAGACCTCGTCTTACGAGTGGTAACCCCAAATACTAAGCCCAAGAACTCTAGGGCTCTAGGCCTAACTCGGGAATGACCTTACAGGATAAAGGAGGTTATGGCTAATGGATCCTATCGACTCGCAGAAATAAATGGTCGAGACATCAAGCACACATGGAATGCAGACCAATTGAAGACCTACTACCAATAACGGCGAGAAAGGTCGATCTAAAGGTTACACTTAGCATTTTTGTTATGTTGTCTATTTTATTTTTGCAGGCTAAAAAGTCGACATGTAAACTCTACATAAATAAAAGTCCGATCGAATTTTCTACTTGTCTGATCTATGCAAAATACTACACCACGCTCGACTTGGCTCTACATACCCAAAGATCTACTATCTACGTCGATTGATAAACATCGACCAATGTTGCGTCAAAGACAAGTCAATGACTATCTTTGACGAGGGGGTAATAAGGCCACCTTAAGGTCTGTAAAAGTGGTAAAGCCCTGGCTTAACCATACTTAACCAAAATTTTTTAGTACGTCGACAACATTCATACGTGAAATAAGCATTTGTATGTATATGCAAAAAAAATATATATAAATAAATAATAACAAGTCTCAACCATATGGCTATTACAAAATTAAAAAAAAAATTATGTCTTGGCCTGACGGCCCTCTAATAATTACATATATGAATAAATAAAGAGAAGAGTCCTCATGGTGCTGCCCCATCCCCTGGCTCCTGCTCAGCGTCCTCAGTACCTGGCACTGTCTCGACCACCTCTACCTCCTCGTCGTCGGACTCGTCGAGGAAAGACAAGTCGACTTATGGGCGTTTCCTTCGGAAGCGGTAAAAAATCTGGTCCCCAGTAGACTTCATCAAGGAAAGTTGAAGTTCCTCAAACTCAGCAGAGTCTTGGTAAGCATCGAGCCTCTGAGTAAGAAGATCCTCAAAAGCTTATGAGGATTTAAACTATTCCACCCGCTCCTCGACTTTGTCCCTGAACTCTTGGGACGACTTAAAAACCTCTAGCCGAGTGTCGACCGAACGAGGGAACACCTCAGAACCCAGGAATTCCTCGACAACTTCATTTTTCTTCTGCTGGAAGACGGGAGATGCAAGGTACGCCTCGACCGCCTGGGAGCACCCCTCCCTGAAGCCCTTCTCAAAGCTTTCGCCTTTCTCCTTGGTGATCGCGTCCTCAAGAGATTTGACCTTGGCTTTCTCGATCGTTAAATCCGAGGAAAGCTCCTCCTGAGTGGTGCACAGAGCTTTAATCTCCTCCTCCACAGCCCTCGACGGGACGCCCTGCCTTAGCAAAGCCTCGAGCTCCACATAATTCAGGAGCATGGCTTCAAGTGCCTGGACAATGAAAAAGAAAGGGCATGAACAAGATGCAAAGGTCAACTTTGTGAGAATGGAGGTCGAGAAGTGAGCAAGCAAAACCTACCGAGATTTGGCGGATCACTGCTATACGCAGGTGCTCTAGAAGGTCTATCCCTGCAAACTTGCCCTAAGAGTTTGGGTGAAAGTGCGTGTAGATGGCCTAGATGGGAAGGCTAAAGTGAGAGGGGGGGCGTAGAGCCCGGTTCAGGTCATGGTTGACCGCGTCCGAAACGAGGAATTGGGGGTCATTGATCTTCGACCCCAGCATCACAAGGGGTCCCTCAGGTGCATGAGGGACGTCCAGGTTGGCGGCGACCTCGGCGCCCTTTCCTTTGTCCAGACGTCGAGACGCCCGAGAAGACCTCTCGACTAACGAAGGGCCTTGTGGCTCCTCCGTCCTCGGCCTCTTGGGAGCAAGGGTGATGGCAAACTTTTCCCGGACGGGGACCTCAGTGGCA